GAAGTCTATTAGTAACCACCCGCTTGAAATGTTTTTTTTAAATTTTTATTAATTACACTTTATTCATTTTGTATCCCCCCATAAGCCCCTCCCTTCTCCCCTCCCGGTCCCATCCTCCCCCCCTTTCTGCATGCATGCCCCTCCCCAAGTCCACTGATAGGGGAGGTCCTCCTCTCCTTCTTTCTGATCTTAGTCTATCAGTTCTCATCAGAAGTGGCTGCATTGTCAGGGTTCTAGGTTATCTCCACGGATAGTCCTTGGTTGGAGTATGAGTCTCTGGGAAGTTCCCTGTGTTCAAATTTTCTTGTTCTGTTGCTCTCCTTGTGGAGTTCCTGTCCTCTCCAGCTCTTACTATTTCCCACTTCTTACATAAAATTCCATTCACTCTGCTTGTCAGTTGGCCATCAGGCTCAGCATCTGCTTTGACAGTCTGCATGGCAGAGGCTTTCAGAGGCCCTCTGTAGCAAGTTCCAAGGTTGTTTCCTGTTTTTTTCTTCTGGCTTTCAGAGGCCCTCTGTAGCAGGTTCCTAGGTTGTTTCCTGTTTGCTTTTTCTTCTGATGTCCATCCTCTTTGCCTTTCAGGATGGGGATTGAGCATTCGCTTCCTCAAGATCCAGCCATACCACTCCTAGGAATATACCCAAAAGAGGCTCAAGTACACAAAAAGGACATTTGCTCAACCATGTTTGTAGCAGCTTTATTTGTAATATCCAGAACCTGGAAACAGCCCAGATGCCCCTCGACTGAAGAATGGATGCAGAAACTGTGGTACATCTATACAATGGAGTATTACTCAGCAATGAAAAATAAGGAAATCATGAAATTTGCAGGTAAATGGTGGGACCTGGAAAGGATCATCCTGAGTGAGTTGTCCCAGAAGCAAAAAGACACACATGGTATATACTCACTCATATAAACATACAACATAGAATAAACCCACTAAAATCTGTACATCTAAACAAACTAAGCAAAAGAGAGGACCCTAACTAGAAATATTTTTTTTTTATTTTTGAACATTTTATTTATTTTTTGATAACTTCATGCATAAATATAATGTACCATGATGATACCCAAGGCAAATCTTCCCTCTTACTCTCCCTAGACTCCTTTAATAGTTTCCCCTCTTGCATTTAAGTCCTTTTTGGAATTTAATAACGCACTGCATCGCTGAGGGCTAAAATGGACACGGGCAACCTCCCAGCAGCCAGATCCCTGAAGAAAAAAAACTGCTCCTCCACCAGTGCCCACCAATAGCTGCTTAGCTGGAAGTGGGGGCTTAGGAGTCATGCCCCTCCTCCCATCCATGCTGAGCTGTGAGCTGCTGTGAGTTCACAAGTGAGTGCCACAGTGCTGCCAGGTCCAGAGGACAATGCGTCCCTGCACTCCTTCCCATCACCAGCTCACATTCTCTCTGTCCTTTCTTTTGGGATGTTCCCCAAACCACACGGAGAAGGGGATACGTGTGCATGCGGTCTGCTAATTCAAGGGAAATCATGAGTGTATCATCCAAATGCTCTAACAATTTTGTTACAAGCTGAGAAATTCTGCCTCTTTAAATGTCCATTTTGCTGGTAAGGTCTTTTTGTTGATACGTGCACAGAAACTTTGAGAGAGGTCTTTGTGTAGAGGCACGGATTGAGTTTTAGCTGAATGTCGGAAAGAACTCTTGACTTGAGGGCCTAGTGAGTTATCCTTGATTTCACACTTTATACAAATCAAGGAGAGAAACTTGAAACATGGCCAGGTGACCAGGTGGCCAGGTGGCCAGGTAGGCCAGATCATTCTAAAACGTGTTTATAACACTTTTCTGTATTATAAAGAGCGCTTCAGTTAAACATTAGTTTACATTTTAGCTGTAACTCTGTCAGACAGAGGGATAATTCTTTGACATATGCAAGAATAACCTGAGTTGGATCCAGTGTAAAATCTTCAAGGGAAACAGTATATGAATTGGGTATATGTCTAAAGCAGAGGTTCAAATCTCACTTTGCCCTACCACAGACAGCCACTCTGAAGTAAAGCAGCACCCCCATTCAAGATTTCACATTTTGTCGTTCTGTTAGCCCACAGTCAACCACGGTTTCAGGATTCTAACTAGGAAATTAGAGGACTATAAACTCACCTTATTGTATACATCAGTTCCAATATAGGAGTTGAAATTTCTGTGCAAATAAGCAGTGTGAAAATATGTGTCAAGGTGTTTGTGAAGGACGGTATTTTAACAGCTCTGATTTGTTCTCCTTTAACAGGCTTCCCTTGGACCCTATGAAGAGATACTATCCTGAGAGAAGTTTGAAACAAACTTACTATTTTTTTTTCATACACAAGCGCTTTAGCTGAAGAGTTGCAGAATTGCCCTCAAAATAGTTGTTTTAATTTTAAGCACAGAAAACTACTTGAAGATGTTTAAATGGCAGTGTTGGTATAATGTCTAACCCGCTTCAGGAAAGCCATTTCTCTTCTAGGAATTGGGCCAATTTGTAGAGTGATTTGCAAACCAGTAGACACATTATTAAGACCTTTCCTTAGAAACATATGTGAGGCTGTGAGCAACGCACTTCCTGACTCCCCACAGAAGGCAGACATCTGGAGAAAACAAGGCTGCAGTGTGCTCTTCCACGTGTCCTCCCACTGAGGCGAGGTTGGAGCCAAGGAGGCACGACTGTCTCACTAGCTCGCTCGAGGGATGTGAAGGTGGGGAGCAGCCGCAGAAGTATTGCCAACCCTTCCTGGCTGTTCTCTGCGTCGTAGCCTGGGAGAACAACTCTTTCTATAGAAACGGTGAAAATTTAAATTTTTTTTCCCCACTCCAACTGCATCATTCCTTAAAATCTGAAACAGTTGTGTTAATTCCTAACAGCCACTATAAAGATTACTGCATTTACTGGGTTAAGACAATGCAACTGTTATCTTAACAGAACTAGAACAGCGATTCTCACCTTTCCAAATGCTCTGACCCTTTAATTCAGTTCATGTTTTGGTGGTGACCCTCAACCAGATTTTTTCATTGCTACTTCATAACTATAATTTTTGCTGTTATGAATCATAACATAAATATCTGAGATGTGGGATGTGACCCCCATGAGAGGGGTCGTGACGCACAGGTTGAGAACCACTCAACTAGAGGTCGCCAGCTCTGAAATCAGGCACCAGCAAGGCCGAGTTGTGTTCTTCCGTTTTCCAGCTTCTTGGACCTTCTTGAATTCTTTGACATGTGGTCTTATATCTTGAACGGTCTCAGAATAGTGTCCTCAAATACTTCCTGCTGTCCCTTCTATTTTCCATCCCTTCTGACTCTCCAACCTCCCTCTTGCAAGAATTTTTGGTGATTACACTGGGTCTCTGTGGGGAATCCAGGACAGCCTGTATGTCAGCCTTCTCTTAAGAGAGAAGGAATTAGTTGTGGTCCCAAGATTTCCATCTGTGCTTTATTTGCCAGGTTACTGCCCAGCACATCTTATAGGAGGTGAAGCAGAGAAGTCCATTCACTTTACTGGACTCAGGAAACAGAAAAAGAAGAGCAGGGTTGTGGCGTCACAATTGCCTTTCAGGACACATCCTTGGTGCCCAATATCCTTCCATGGTATACTCTTTTTTAATACTCTTTTTTAAAGGTTCCATCACTTCTCAATAGACCATAAGCTAGGGTCCAATCCTCCAACAAGAGGTTTGGAGGGCACTTAAGATCCAACCCATAGCATTGTCCCATCCCTAGGCCCTGAACTCACTACCATCTACAAAATATCCCTGGCCACCAAATTGACACCTGCATGGATTCTGAAGAAGTATAAACATATTGTCTGGACCATTATTCTGTGTATGAAAACTATTTGGAGATTTCAGTCACTTTTAAAAAATACATTTTAGTCATTTGTGAAAATGGAATAATTAAATTTACCTTGTGGGAAAGGTAAATGAGATAAACTAAATTAAACATCAGGTGGAATGGAAGGCAGAGCAAAGTGCTCCTGTAGAAACAGGTAGCTGCTCTAGCCTGTACTGGCAGGCGTACTACATTCCCTCTCTGTGTTACCTTAAAGTTATGAGGCCACATGACTTTTTCTGGCCTTGTTTTCTATGAATTATTTTCCACCTTTCTGTGCTATTGTTTGGAAGTCACTTTTCTTACACTCAAGGGATAACAAAGGCCTGCCGCAGGTGAGACAGAGCTTCGAGGTTACTCTACACAAAGGTAAGAAGACAAGTTGAAGGACTAAAGAGAGCTACAGCAACTCAGGACAACACAAGGGAAGAGCCGCAGGTGTTGGGGGACAAAAACAACTTCTGAGCAAGTACGAAAAGGGGCTAAATTAAGGTGACGGCAGACCATGCTTTCCCTAATTTTATGGCAACCTGTCCACAGGAAGGTCCACAGAAGTTGGGAGATTAAAGACAGTAAGCATAGGAGCTTATTCTTAACTCTGAAGAATAAAAAAATATGGGGACTACAGATCACTTTTAAGCTTGAACTTGCACTCATCTGTTGGGATGATCTTTTTGTGCACTGTGTGAAGAACTTCTTTGTATTATTCAGATACTGAGTTCTGTACTGGCTGGACTTTGGTATTGTTATTCTATGGCTTCATCATATTTTGTAAACACCCCCTCGGATTGGTTTAATAAAGAGCTGAACGGCCAATAGCTGAGGCAGGAGAGAATGGGTGGGACATCTGGGAAAGAAGTGGCACTAGGAGGCCCCAGCCTGACAGGAAAGGAGAAGCAGGTTCTGGACCTAAGAGCTAACAGCCTGTGTGGTTGGACGTAGTCCAGGCCAGTATTGTTAGGTTAGGATAGCTGAGACGCTGCCCAGCTGGAGTGCCTAAGCTAATAATAAATATAATGAAGTCTCTGCATCATTATTCCATCCGCCGGTGTTCCAAAGAAAGTCCTTAATACTTAAAGTCCCAAATACTTAAAACAGAGAATTTAAGTGACTCCTACATGAAAGACTCGTTTTTCTCTAAAGCCCACCTTTACCTGGCAATTATATGATGCTACAGCGAGCTGTTTTCTCTGCAGATACAGAGAAAGAAGAATTTACATGAAAACATTATTCATATTTGGTGGTTGTTTTATTATCATATATCACTGTTTACATTTTCTTTGATACTCAAGGATATTATAAATCATACTTTAACAAAAAAATCTATGCATAGCATATGTAAGCAATAACAGTTTGAAGGATAGCAAGAAGCTATGTAAACCTAAAATCTATTGATACTGAAATAAACCAGCCTGTGCATAGTAACGATCGAAAGGGTAATACAACGGCATATTAGTAAGTGTTCGGGTGCTGTGGAAAAACACAGAGAGAAGAACTTCAGTCAGACATACACAGAATCTTGGATGTGAATTTCACCTAGAAATTAGGCCCTCAGTCTAGCAGTGCTTAAATCATTCCTTTTGCTTGCCACTTGGCAATACAGACAAATGCATATTCAATTTAATGTGATTTTATGATTCTTGGATATTTTAGTTATTTTATATTAGATAAAATATAAAGCTGTTAAAACTTTCGGCTTTGTGTTTAGTTAAATGCCACCACACACACAGTGTCCAACGTTATTTTTAACTGGTTATTTTTTGGTATCATGTAGAAGAGATTGACAAAACAGTTTCTGTGACAACTTTTAATGAAAAGGTTAAGTCTAAAAAGGATAATAGTCCAGACCACTGGTCTAGATCCTTGGTGTTACTACATGCTGGAAGCAAATTGTGAAATGTTTCAGACAACTGTTTTTCAATGCTGAATCCTAAAGATTCAGAATTTTGACTGAAAAATGCACAAATTCTTCTTACGTGAAGCCATGTTCACATATATTAATTTTCTAAAAGAAAAATGAAAGAGCCTGCATTGCAGAGGCTCTCAACCTTCCTAATGTTGTGGCGATCCCCAACCTTACAGTTATTTTCTTTGCTGCTTCCTAACTATAATTTTACGACTGTTACAAACTGTGATGTAAGCATCTGTGTTTTTCAAAGCTCTTAGATGACCCCTGTGAAAGGGTCACTCTCCTCGCAAATGGTTCACAACTCTCAGGCTGAGAACCACTGCTGGTTTGTTGTTGTTGTTTTGTTTTTTAATATTACGTATCAGTTTGGGATCTCATCAGATTTTTATACAATATATGGAAAACAGATCTGTGTCCTTCATATATTATATCTAAGTAAAAGACAAAGACAATGACATACATCAGCATTTTTTTTTCCTTAAGCCATTTAAGAACAGACAAGCTGATTGTGGTGGCCCATGCCAGTAGGACTTGCTGAAGGAGACAGAGGCAGGAGGATCAGAGGACAGTCAATTTGGCTGAGTGATGAATTCGCCATATTGGTAGCAATATGTATCTTTCAAAGAACTTAATAAATGGAGGCAAACAAATTGTGTTTATCTTACCAACTCAAAAAGCCTGAATTCACTATCTGATTTCTTAAAAAGATACACTGAAAAAATATGCCTGTGAGGTAAGAACTATCTTAAATGGACACAGAAAACGTCTTACAGATCATTTTGTTCGTTACTTTTATGCAATGCACCGTTAATTTCAGTCATCAAAATGCCTAGCACTAAACTTGGCATCTTCAGTCTTAACATTCCTCACATAGGAGAAAAAAAATAGCTTCCACCAATGTAAGAAGTGGAATTTATAAAGTCAATACAACAAAAAGGATTAGAGACCCACGCTAGCTTTGAAAGACAATTTGTACACAACGAAATGAGCGCTCTGCTTAACTTCTCTAACTAGCCAATCTCCCTTCACTGCAGCTCAGCGCACAGCTGACTTCAGCACCTCACATGACGGCCTTCCGCTTTCATTGCTGACGTGTTTCAGTGAAAGTGAGCATGGGCATTATCTCTCTTCTCAGAAACACTGTTAAAATATAAGTGCTACTGCCTTAACAGTTAGGCAATAATTAAATAATTTTGGCAACGTGTTATTTTCAAAATTTTCAACATAAGGCACAGAGGAACATCTAAAGTCCAGAAACAAGTATATTACATAATAAATAGTTATCTTTCAGTCATCACTGGCCCTTTATCAGAAGAAAGGGATGAGTAGTGCAGTAAAAACATGCCTGAATTAATAAAAATAATGGAATTTAGGAAATGCAATTAATATCTGTGTGCAGAAAGAATATTAATCCAAAAGAGATAAAGAATATTTTATATAAAATACACACCCTATTGTATTACAGCTAGATAGAAAAAAATGTGAGGCACTTATATTAACAGTGCAGAAGGAAAATATTGAGATTTTCTTTTGACCAAAGCACCAAACCATTTATTTTAACATCTGACACAAAAACAGAGGTTAAAAGTATAGGAAATCGATTGGTCTTGTAACTCATATTTGGTATGCTAACAAGAATCCAGAAGTTCAAAGCTCAAAGTACTTCAGTGTTTTTCTGGCTGAAGTTATTGAGCAGAGAAATTCAACTTTCCCGAATCCTGAAGTTCTCCGCTGTAAGGACCGTGCACTCCAAGGTTCCGGAGCCATGCAAATGTGTGTGTGGGCTCTACCTGTGCTCCCATAGAGCGTCCCATTTTATAGGTGACTGATTATATATATATTTAAACTCCTTTTCTACACACAAAGGTTAAAACCTGTTTTGGAAAAAGAGTACTGATGCCCAACACTGACAGTTCCAGTTCCTGTTCCTGAATGAATTTGACCCTGGGCTTGATGCTACAGGAATGCACTGGGTGTGATGTCAGGAAGAGGCAGGGCTTCTGCGGGGTGATGAAGGTGAGCAGGGGTCTGTGAGTGACCAGTGCTGTTTAATTCAGATGGATAGGTTTCATTTAAAGCACCCAGATTCTGAAATGAAAAGGAAAAACAAGCAGAGCAACTTGTTAACATCTAAATGACCCTATAAAAACACATTTTAGACCCTGACACCCCCACCTTGTTCCACAGCCCTTTACTGCTCATTAAACGTTGCATCCAACCACACAGAGAAAGGCCCACACACCCATCTCAGAAAACCAGCCTTTCCCATTAATCCTACAAGACAATCTAAAGATGGTACTGGGAGTGCTAGAACTCTCTCACTTCCTCTGCCTTTGGGTCTGATGGAAAATTATGTGACACAGGGTATCCCAGGGTTATTCTGTCCTGCCACCACCCAACCAAAAACCTGGGAACCAGTGAGCTGGTCATATCCAGAACTTCTACACTGTAGTTCAGACACCAGTACTTTTGCCAGCCTCTGGGTTTCAAAGTGTTTCTTGCTATTCTTATGTTACACTAATGGGAATGATCTTAAATCAACTTATTTGTAACACGTGCTTAATAAATTTTCCTGTGAGTTACAGGAAATAAAAATATGGTGGCTGGCTTGCTGTGCTGGCTAGTTTTATGTCAACTTGACACAAGCTAGAGTCATCAGAGAGGAAGATGCCTCAGCTGAGAAAATGTCTCTAAGAGATGAACTGTAGGGCAGCTGGGGCGGAAGACTCAGCCGTGACTGAGACACCAGCATCACTGAGGTAAAGTCTTCCTCAGAATCCGCACACAGAAGTCGTTTCCCAGGTGTGGCCAGGATTGTACTGGCATCTGAACTTAGCAGTGTAAGAGTTACCCAAGTGGTACTGGTTTTGAAAGCATTCAGGGGCATGGAGAGAGGCCAGACATGGTGAGAGGCCAGGAGAGGCCACTGGTGAAGGAGCAGCCTCAGCAGCAGTTGAAGGCTCAGGATTAAATGAGATCATGGAGAGCAGTTTTGGCTTGGCACCATGACATGAGCCCAGGAGAGTCTACTGGTGAACGTGTAGCTCATTTGCAGTAGAAGGCCTCAGGACTTTAGAGATGCCAGGACCACGGTATGGCCACCAAGGACAGCGGCTGTGGAGTGGAGCCCGCCCACACTTAGAAGATAAGGTCTGTGTGCCTCAGTGGCTGAAGAAGTGACCCAAGCCCTTTGGGGGATCCCAGAAGATTGTGTCCCAGACATTGGACATGGGGTTATTTACACAGTTGGAGTTTGGTTTTGCTTTGCTTTGACTGTGCCATGGTTCTTTTAACTTTTATAGGAGCCCACAGCTTAGACTTTGAACTTTTAATAGAGATTTTGGATTTTTTTTTTTTTTTTTTTTTTTTTTTAGTGAGAATGATTGTTTTAAAGAGAACTGAACTTTTAATGTATTAGCATTTGTAAAGAGCATGGGACTTTTAAAGTCAGTTATGTTTTATATACTGCCATCTTGGAGATAAATGAGAAAGGAAGGGTTCTCACTAAAAAATGACGTGTCAGGTTGACAAGGAGTCAGTTCTGGATAGTTTGTTTTATGTCAGTTTGACTCAGATAAAGTTATTAGAGGGGAGAGAGCCTCAGCTGAGAAAATGCCTCTACGATCTGGCTGCAGGCAGGCAGGCATTAATCAGTGACTGATGTGGGTCCAGCCCATTGTGTGGTTCTATAGGAAAGCAAGCCAGGAAGAAGCACTCTTCCATGGCATCTGCTTTCAGGTTCCTGCCTGCTTGAGTTCCTGCCTCCAGATTCCTGCACTTGAGATCCTGCCCCTGCTGCCTTTGACTATGAACTGTTAGGCGGGACTTTTCTTCTCAAGTTGTTTTTGGTTATGGTGCTTCATCACAGCAATAGTAACCCCAACTAAGACATTTGCCTTCTTATACCAAAACTGATCTAGTTTTTCAGAATTGCTAAAAAAAAAAAAAAAAAAGGAAGAGTAAACATAAGAGTTGATAGTCTATAGAACCTTCATATTGTAGTGTGTAGTTGATGAAATAAAATAAAAATCGTAAAATTATTCTTTCAGCTGTTTCAAATAACCTCACTTGTTTTGCAGTGCTGTAGGTCCAGCAAGGTCTTGTGTGTGTTAACCCTGTGCTCCACTACTGAGCTACCTATATGCTTGACCTTTTTGTACTTTTATTTTGTGTGTCACTGTTTTCCAGGTTGTCTTTGAACTCACTCCACAGCCCTAACACCAGGCACGAGAAGCACCCTTCTGAATTGCTGGTAAGGGTTGTCCTATACCTGTAAGTAATATACAAACTGTGCAGGTTTTACTTACATACTTAGGAACACACACACACACATACACACTAAAAGAAAAGAGGTCATGAATTGGAAAGAAAGCAAGGTGGGGATAGATGGGAAGGGCTTGATAAAGGAAATGGAAGAGGGAAAAGAATAAAAAAAATAATAAATTGTTTAAAAGAATAAAATTTTGTGTGTGTGGCTGTTTTCCTACATTTACACATGTGCTACACAAGTGTGCAGTGCTGAGGAGGCAGGAGAGGGCACTGCATCCCTGGAACTGGAATTACAGGCAGTTGTGAGCTACCCACATGGGTGCTTGGAATTGAATACAGGTCCTTTAGACGTGCAAGTGAGTGTTGATTGCTGAGCCATCTTCCCAGGCCCAAGATGTTAGTTTGCTTTTTTTTTTTTTTTATTGCCACATAATTCCTCATATGTACAGGTTACAATGTGGCATTTCAATTCATCTCTATAATGTGTAAGCCAATCAGACATCATCTTTTACTGTGAATACTCATTTTTTGTTTGCATTGAGAACATTTGGAGTCCTGTTTTCTAGGGGCTCTGAATTGTGCAATGAATTTCTGTTAACTGCTGTCATCCTACTGTGTGATAGAAGAACCAGCTAGTCCTGTTGCCTGTCAACACCCAGCAGCCAGGCCCATTCTGTTGCAGGTTTCCAGGATCTGAGAAGTCAGCCTTGGAGGTTTTCACACACGGGTGTGAGAAGCAGTTTTGCTCTCTGTGGTCAATCGTGCCCTCCAGCTGCAAGACTGTGAGGAAATGAGACAATTCCATTCTTTCCCAGATAAACTGTATCCAGTGTACGATTAATCAATTTTCTTTACTATAACTATTACATTAGGCTATCAGGAAAACGACTAAGAAAAACCACCATCATTCCCCACCAAAAAAAAAAGATATCCCATACAATCAGATACATCAGAGTATTGACAGTCTAGAGGTAACAACCAGGACTGAGACCCAAGTGGCACTTGTATCTGTCTACACTCAAACAGCAAACAGGGCGATGAACGTAATGTTACTCAAGGTATTCTCAGATGCTAAACCAGTGTCTTCAAATAAACTAACATTTTTTAACAGCAATTTATTAGTGCAAGCATAATATACTCCTGAGTGGTGACGAACAGTGGCTATCAGATTATGTTAATATCCACTTATTTTTAAGAAAATTATTTATTATTTGTGCTAGCTTAAGGAAATTACAATGAAGTTAATTGTGTGACCCAAAACACAGTAGAAGCAGTTGTGAAGTTGATTGCTACTTAAAAGGTTTCTACAGTATGTTAACACAGGACAGACAAGACGCAGAAGCTGAGGCCCACAGGTTGCGCCGCTCTGGAAAGCCCTTACCTTGCTTAGAAATGCCTGGGAGTCTGGGACTGCAGGGCCATACTGCCTCTGGTCCACAGGCGTGTGCTGCGGCCCTGGCTGGTACTGATACATGGACATGGCCCCAGCGTAGTATGCCTGAGGAGCGTCCACGGCTGACTGTGAATTTATCCCGTGTCTTTGGTTTTCAGGAACCTGTAAACAGCTGACAAAATCTTCTAAGTTAGCAGAGGTGGGGTGCAGGGACGGCTGGAAACCCCTTCCAGGGAAGTCCAACTCTGCGCACTTGGGAAGCTGAGGCAGCACAGCCTGATTACAGGGAGCAAAGCTCGGTGTGTAAGGCGTACTGTGTACCTCGGATCTGTAGGGGAATTCTTGAGCAGTCCCTTGTAAGCCTGAAAAGACATCATAGTGCTTTAGTTCCTGCTGAGGACAGCTCAAAGACACAGGGGGGGCGGGGTTCCAACCTGCAAACATGCCATTGGCTTGCATGTGCTGCATTTTCTGAGCGAGGTCATGCTGGAGGGGCTCCATGTGACACAGCTGCTGCTGGGGCTCCACGGCCTCAGCAGGGTGCTGCTGCTGGAGCTGCTGCTGCTGCTGCTCCAGATGCAGGCGTTCCTGGAGCATGCAGCTGAGGTGCTGAGTCACCGGCTGTTGCTGGCAAGCTGAATCCAGCAAGGCCGATTTGCTCAGAGAATCTTGCACGTACGTCAGGATTTCGTCTGTTAGGTCAATGTCTCTGAAGTCGACCTCCCCTGACAAGTCAGTTCTGAAGAACTCCTCGTTGTGCATCCTTTGGATGTCCTCAAAATCAATCCCTAGGTTTCTCATGATGCTGTACAAGTCACTGTTTTTGTTATCAGGAAAGAGCCCCGAGGGACCTCCTGAGAGTGCGGGGTTCATGTCCTGAGCATGCGCAGTTTGCTCATGTTTCAGCACAGCTTCGCTTGGTGCAAAGCTGTCTTGCCAAACACTGCACTCCCTCACAGAGTCCGCGAGAAAACGGCTGTCCAATGGCGCGGGGCTCGAAGCGGGACAGAGATAGATGGATTCATCCTGCTGGATCATGGCATTCAAAAGAGAACTGGGGTGGAGAGAATCCTTACTTGGGCTTTCCTGAGGAGCCCAGTCTTTCCCACCAGTGCTGCTTTTGTTGCGTATTGGTAAGGGATCCAAGATGGGAGGGAAAGGATTGGCGATCTCGTACAATACGGCCTCTCCGGTAGCAAACATGAAGGGCAGCGTCATATTTCGCTTCTGTAAATGCTCTCTTCCTTCTTCATCCCTAAAAGGGCGGGCAAGAAGGTCTGCGTATGTTAGAGTTTCATCATATGTGTTTTAAGTAAAAGGAGAAAAGAAATTAATAGAACGTACTACAGCTGGGTTTGATAGTAAGGAACATGTTTTTATTTTGAGGTAAGTTATTTTCATGACTAGTGTTATGAAAATGTAGCTAAAACTATATAGGAGTATATATAAATTCTAAAAAAATAGAAACATCTAAATAAAATAATAAGTAGGGGATATAAATGGAATACAAAATAAATGTACAACAGCAAAATCGGTGAATGAAATATGTGAGCCTGGAAAAGACTAATGAAGCCAGAGGTCTGTTAGCTGCACCAGTCAACGGATTCATGATTCATGAAGCATACATCCATGCACTCTTATGGGTGATATGAACATTCACTATGGTCATGGGCCAATGACTCAGTTCTGCACAGACATTAAGTCTTCCCCCAAAAGAGCTAGGTCTTCAAAATCCCAACAGTTTTGTTGTTGTTGTTGAGAATTTACTCTTTAAGGAATGATTTCTAAAGCACGTTTGGAAACATTAAGGGTAAAGGAAAGCCAAGACAATCACAATTGAGAACAAACTGCATACAAAAACAAAACAAAGACATCGTTCACAAAACAATAGTGCTAATAAATTTTTTTTTGTTAATTTTGCAAAAAATTCTTTTCTGGAATTTGTGAGAAACTTTCAAATCACTGTGTCCACACAGTTAACAAGCTTCATAGTTTTTCTTTTATGTTCAAGATGTCACTGGCTTTCATTCCTCTTTAAACAGAAGGTAAGTTGGAATTGAAATTTTGTTTTAGCTTTATCTACTTAGCTGCTCAATGAAGCTATTCACTGCCGGTTTTTTGTTTTGTTTTTTCAACATTTCTCATATTTGCCCTGTTCTTTCTAGACAAAGTCTTTTAACTTTTCACTTTTCAGTTACAGGTTCCACTGCTTAAGGCTGTTTGTAAATACTCATGGAAGGAGACTGATGAAGACACAGAAGTGGGACTGCTCTTCCCTAATGCTTACGTCAGCGGTCTCTGAGTGGCGATGATGTAGTCTGGCCTTCCGTTTCTGTAAACCAAGCGCGCGTTGGACTGGACCCACCTCCACCGACTGTGTTTTGCGAGGAGCCTGAAAACAGTCATGCCACTTTCTCCAGTCTTAATCACTAGAAATAAACAGTGACAAGGTCGCCAAACCCGTAGCAACACAGTAAGGACACCTCTGTAACAAAGACCCTCTGCAGTGCTCAAGCCCTGCCTCTGCTTAGGGAGCTTGCTGCCCTGCAGAAGACTTGAGTTTGGTTCCCAGCAGCCACACTGGGGGCTCACAAGCTCCCGGAACCCAGTCCCAGGGGATCTGATGGCCTCTTCTGGCGTCTGAGCTCACCAGTACTCCTGCTCACATACTTCCACATAGACAAATACACACGCACAATTAAAACATAAAAAAAGGATCATTTTAAAAGTCATTCTGACACACTTCCAGATGAATTCCATTAACTAGCAGTTATAATATCTCGAAGATTTTGAAACCCAGTGAGCACAGTGAGAGGCACAGGAACTCAGAGTTGGTGCTCTCCCATTTTAGGTAAGGCTTAACATGTGAAATGTTAAACAAATGTTGACAGCCGGTCGGACGGTTTTGGCAAAACATAAGAAGAGATTAGCTTGGGAGAAAAGTAAAGATTAAAACTTCTCATGTTAAATGAAGACTATTTTTAATATTTCCTGACTTTATATTAACATATATGAGGTAATGATGCTATTAAAGATTGCCTGAACAAAACTTTATTGGCCAAAATAGTTATTTTCATAATAATTAGGCCACTACTATCACTGCAGGGCAGCTGCAGTGGAAATACACAGTAAAATCGGTTAACCAAAACAGCATGACGGCAACAGGATTAATGCAAGCAGGTCTCTGAGGACATTCTCTCACACAACAGTTAGAAACACGAGTCCCAGGGCTGGGGAGAGGCTGCAGTGATATCGGTCCTTGCCACCATGCGTGACTATTTGAGGTCGATCCTGGAGATCCACAACATGAGAGAGAAGTGACGGCCGCGTGCACACACACAAGAATCAGTGAACGTCTGTAAGAGCTCACCACACTCTCGTGCCCGTGAAAATTGCCAGGCAGGCCACAGGAATTCCAACTCACTTCGAATGTGGGATTCCGCACAGTGCAGCATGTCAGCAGCGTGAATAAACTGATAGCCTGACCCTCTTGTGCACAGCTCCACTTCTGTATAGCCCAGGATGAGCTGGCCTCTGTCAAAAAAAAAAAAAAAAAAAATTAAAAATCGAGATGCAAGATGCATCCATTGGTGGTGTGCTATTTCTACAACATACTATAGCTGACATAAACATTCACATTAGCATATAGAAAGCATCCTTTTTATTTTTTTATTTTTTTGCTTATGGCTACGAATTTTCAGTTCTAGCCCAATTTCTTCCTTGGAATAAGGTCATTAAAGTTAGGATGGTCAGAAGTGAATCTGACAGAGTTAACTATAAAAGTAAAACGAACTCAAAAGCTAAAAACACGGACTGCTCAGGCTGTACTTGGGAGACAGGTCTGTTAGGTTGCTTCACTGTATTCTCCCATACGAAAGGAGAAAAAACTGAAAATGCCTTGAGATAAATTCTCGTTAGTTAACTAATTACTTTAGATAGTTATTTAATTTATAAAGCTAAAAATTAAACAATATTTTTACAAAATGTAAAATAAACTGATGTCCTAAGAATGACACTTGGAAGTACAATAAATAATACAAAATAGTAAGATTATTTGTTAAATTGATGAAATTGCCCTATTTTAGTAGGAAATACTGAAAGACATAGTAAATAGTAATGAATAAATAGTAAATAGTAGTAAATAATACTGGAATCTACACCATATGTCACACAATTACAGAAATGCTAAAATAAAACATGCATGTGGCAAAATAAGAGTGAAAAGGTTCCTTACTTGGCATCACAACCAATAGGTGTGAAGTCTAGTTTGTGCTTGGTCCTGAAGATGAAATTTTTGGTTCGGATTTCCAGTATGGACGGAGGCTGGAGTGGAGTTGCTATTGCAAACAAGGCCAGCTGTGGAGGGAGCAGTGCCCCGTCCTTCCCCTTCTTGTTCTGCCCGTGAAGATACTTTAACCTCCCTTGGAAATTCATCGCCTTAAAAAAGTCATTAAAGGTAACTGTACAGCAGTTTCATTTTCGAAGTTTCCATCATGTTCCTGAGGTTCCTGATGCCAGGACAGGCCCCCAGGCTCACAGCTGCTACCTTTTCCCTCACTTCTCTTTCTGCCTATTAAAATTCCAAAGGTAGGGTGGGAAAGAGGGCACCAAGTGACATACCCAGTGTCACAAGAGGACTGCCCTATCCTATCGTTCACATCCCTAAAAGCTCCTGACCATTTCCACCTTCCACAGCTCTCTGCACACCAAGCTCTCAATACATAACTTAAAGAAAAGAAGGGTGATAAAGGCACACTACATATTAATTTTCAAACATGTATGATCTATATACTATAGCTCACTGTAATCTTTCAATCTCATTAAAACAGTAAATGAGACTTATAAAACTGCATAAAGAATGTGCAGACCCAAGATAAGGAATGATTTTAGATGACAGAGGCCAAAGAGAATATAAACTTGGGTGTGGTGAACTTTCCCATGTGGAAAGCACACAACCCCAAATGCTAGGCATCCTACTAAGGAATGGCTGGCTACTTCTGAGACTTAAGCATTCTTTCAACACATTCAGTATACAAGGTTCCATGTTATGTCACTCAATTTCTATAACTTCATCTTTTTTTTCCCACAATTTATTTATTAAATATCCCAATTGAAGCCCTCTCCCTCAACTCCTCTCTGTCCTGCCCTCCCTTCCTTTTCCCCCATCCCCTTCCCCTAGTCTGCAGAAAGGGGGAGTTCTTCTCCTTTGCCACTGCCCCTAGCTTATCAAGTCTTATCAGGACTGCCTGGATCTTCTTCATCTTAACTGATAGGCTTTTCTGAGCTATAGCTGACACTGAAACCAAAAATACTAGCGTGTGTGTTGAATGTGGGCGTGCACATGTGTGTACGTGTGTGTGTGTGAATATATATGTGTATTCACTCCAGGAATACATATGTGTATTCACTCCAGGAATACATATGTGTATTCACTCCAGGATTCTCCAGGTCCTTCCTCTGATCTCTCCGTCACTGAATTACGGGTGGACATTACCATACCGGGCTTTCACATGGGCTCTTGGGGTCAAACTCGAGGCCCCATTCTTAGAAGGAAAGTATTTTCCCAACTGAGCCATTTCCCTGGGCCCACAATGTTAATTTTTAAGGGTTGCTTTCTTTTATCAAATGCAGTCGTCCAAAAGGGCAGTGGTTTATGATCTTGCACCTTACCAGAAAACCAGATGAGTTATCCAGCAGACATCTCAGCCGGCATCTGAAGCACCTCTCCAGGAAGGAAGCATTCTCTGGAGGAAGCTGCTCTGGGTTAAAACACACTGCTGGCTGTGGGAGGCCACGAGCTTCTGTGGGAAGACAACAGCACAGCCCACCTTACATTTGCTGTAAAATGAAGGGTTTGAGGAGCTAAAACTGTGACACTGGGGTCTGTGTTCTGAATTAAACATTCCACTTCAGAAATAATTCAGAAGCCCCAAACTGATTAACACTTCTACACTGTAGAACTTGACTTATTTTTTTCATGTGCACTTCTGAGCTATTGCTGTCAACTATGTATTTCCAACAGTGGTTTTGTTTTCTTACCGGCTTTACTGATATCTTGAAACAATGCTTACACGAGGAAAAATGCTTTTATGGGTTTACACGCTAGCGTGCATTTTTATGGTTACATTTGATAAGAATGATTTGCACTTTTCAGGCACAATCCTGCATATTCCTCTCGTCTTTCACAACAGTAGCACTGTTAGTTTTATAAAGCAATACTGCTTTGGGCTTGGATCGTAGCTGAACTGGTAAAGTGCTTACACTGAGTTTGACCCCTAGAAGCATGTCAGGAAAAGCCAGGCGTGGAGAGGCAGGCTTGTGAGCCTGTGCTGTAGAGGCACAGACAGGGGGATCTCTGTGGCCAATGAAAAATCTTGTTTCAGATAATAAGGTGGGAGGTGTGCAAAGAATGACACCTGACATGGGTGACCTTTGGCCTCCACATGTGTACATGGTGGGCACAGACATGTCCTCACACTGCTGACAATGTGGCCTTCTGGCGGATGGTATGCTTTATAGCTCGAGTCTGCTATGCGTTCCTTGGCTTGGCAACCTCTTGGGGCCTGGCCCTGACCTATAGCTACAGACTCGCACCACCTGGTCTGTTCCCTGTCTTCAGCATGGAGCTGTGTGACCTCCAACCCCCTGGCCTTCTTTCCAGAATCCTCAGAAAGCATGAGCATCGTCTGTGGTACATGGCTTTACCATCCCCTCCTTGTGCAGCATCTGTGTACTGTGCAGGGTCGAGAGCCCAGTGTAGCTGGCGCTGGAACTCGGCGCGGTCTTCCGTGTGGATGAGCTCATACACGCTCTGATGGATGACGTCAGACTACAGAAGAGGAGACAGAAGCAGCGGTCGAAAAATTGGTAAGATTGAGTGCAGCAGTCTCAAAACATGCCTCAATGGGAGGGCACCTCTCAGTAACGGTGGACCAAATGCAAAGGACGGTTGGCAGAGCCCCCTAGTCACACCCAGTAGGGAAAGCCGTAGGCCAGCCCTGTATCTGATCCAGCTGACTACCTGCCATCACTTCCTGGCACAGACTCTCTGCTCACGAGGCACCTTCCTGTGCCTCAACTGTATCATACTGAGATCTAGTCATATTCCTTGTCCATTGCACACCAGCTGATGGCACGCTAGACCAGTGGTTCTCAACCTGTGGGCCGCAATCCTCTGGGAGTCTCACGTCTGCTACCCCGCGTAGCAGATGTTTATTTACATTGCCATCCAGAACAGTAGCAAAATTACAGTTATGAAGTAGCAACAAAAAACTGTAAGATTGCATCTGACCATGACCTGAAGAGCTATATTAAACGGTCACGGCATCACGAAGGTTGGGACCCACCATTCTAGACCCTGTCTCATCCATGAGTCCCTTTACAGACGGTACGTTGTTTTAAACAAAGAAACTAAGATCTATGTTTTGTGGCTACAACCAAATTCCGTTTCTTTAATTATCTTCCCTTAAGTAAGTCTCCCTGGGAACTTATTGCACAATTAAATCACCACTATGTATCGATGACATTGTTGCCTGTCTGATCTGGAATACAGCGAAAGCACCCACTTTCTAATGAAAGCTACTGGTGAATATTTATTGTATATATAATACAAAGTACAGCCTACATAGGTGCTAAGCAGTCTGAGAAATGCAAACTCATGGGCCACACGACCACCCACTGAAATAGAGTATCTCAGAATGGAGTCTAGAGGTCTAATCCAAAGGCACCAGGGTTAAAAGTACAAACCAGTGTTTTACATGAGCCTTCTCACAGTCATGTTAATTTCCAAACTCTCCCACGTCCTCTGTGGCCTGTGCTGTCTAACAGCAAATGTTCTGTCTGCCTCGAAGCCTGACCAGCCTGAAAACTTCTCTCCCGGGCCCCCTTGACTGAACCCAACATAGCAGGTACTCTGTCGCACAGAGCTACATCTGCAGGCCCCTGGAAGTTTCTTATACATCTGAGGTTACTGATAAGTTCAAAAAAGAAAAGCAATAGCCATCAAACAAAATATCAGCACTACATCTGAAATTTGAAAAACTCCAACAGCCTCAATTTTTATAGCACACATTTTAATCAAGACTTTCCATTTTCAAATGGTCAACTTCGATCTTACACTATAAAATAGATAAAACAGTAGAAAGTTCATTTCCTGAAAGTAATCACTGAAAATAACAGAAGAGAAGCGTGCTTACTTGCTGAAAGCCCAGGTAATCTTGGATCGTGGAGGAAGCATAGAAGACCAGGGCGTCTGCCGTGACCACCAGGACAAAGCCGTTCAGTGCCTGCGGACAGGAAGGTGTGGTTAGTGATGGCGTGAACCCACAACTCAGAAATGCCGACTGTTAATGAAGGCTGTGGCTCTGTATCTCTCAGCACCTGCTCTCCAAAACGACTAAAATGCTTGAACTACCCAAACACAGGCGCACTGCATGTGGACTGGGCCGAACCACTCAGGCCTCCCACTTTTCTCCCTGTGGCTGAAGAAAACCAGCTAAATTTAAAGTCCAGCCAGGTACATGACTAGGATATTAGGATTTCCGTTTTCCTTACACGGCAGACTTCTCTTAAATACACTGCCTCCAACTTCTGGTATAAAACAAACTGCACAGAAAACATTCCCGATAGCTGCATGCCTTTCTCCTTTAGGGAGGACTGCGGGAGAAACTGCCGGTTGGACCTTTAAGTGGAGAAATCTGGTCAGAGGCCAGAACTGCTTCCAGTCAGACTACCCCAGGAACCGCCTGAATTTGAAATCTAGATGCTTTCAAAGAACGACACAGACACTAAAACTTTCACTGGAAAGCACAATGCTTAGAAAAACGTAACATTCCAATAATTTAAATATGCTTCTTAGATATGAAACACATACATTTATTAGCGCTTACTCTCACTGTGACCACTGTCGTAGTACTCTCCTTACTTGTATTAGTTCTCACTGGCTCAACCCTCTGCCCCCTACGGCCTGTGCTGCTATAGTGACTAGTTCACGCTCTCTCCTTCTTTTAGTTTGCAAGTCCTTTTTTTACTGTCTTGTTTATGGATTTTCAAGGCTGGTGTGAATTAAAGGTTATCTTCCTCTTGGACAGCGAAATTGTGCGTGTTCACGTTAGCTGGCCATTGTTAGAAACTTTAATTTGAGAAGCTCTCGCCGTTTCCTAGGGGAATTCAGTCTCCCAAGAGTCAGGCAGTCTCCTAACTATAAACTACAAAACTAAATGGCAAGCTGCATACTTCCTACATAGAACGGCACAAAACACGCTTTACCATCTCAACAGGGAGGAACAGGGCACAGTGAGGAATCCTGGACCCAGGCAAGACCAGAGCCCAGCAGGACGAACACCAACCTTGCAGCTCTGTGTGCAGGCTGGGAGTGGAACATGGCAGCTGGGTGGGAAATGTCCCTCTTAGTCTTGGGCATTTGAACACTTGGTCCCATTTTGGTGCAGCTGTTTGGGGTTGGGGCTTTGCTGGAGGAAATTAGTCACTAGGGGTGAGTCCTATTTCCAGTTCGTGTTCTGTGTGTGTGTGTGTGTGTGTGAGAGAGAGAGAGAGAGAGAGCATGTATGTATGTATGAGCATGTGTGAGTGTGTATGAGCGTGGGTGAGCATATGTTGTGTTTGTGTGTGAAGGTGTGTGTATTAGTGTGTGTGAGCATATGTTGTGTGTGTGTATGAGCATGTGTGTGTCTGTGTGAGCATGTGCGCTCTCAGCCTGCTGTTCCTGCTGCCCTGCCTGCTGCTCACAGTCATTCTTCTCAACCATGCTGGACTCTGACCCTCCGGTGCTGTGAGCCCAAGTGCACGCTTCCCTCTGCAAGTCATGCTTAGTCATGGCACCTCCTTACAGCAACAGAAAGGAGCTGATACAGATCCACTGCAGCAAAGAGTCAGCCACCCTTACACCCAGCTGTCCCCTCGGTTCTCCGCTGGAAGAGAAAGAGCCGGGGAACTGTGCTAGCACTCTGACGGCACACTATCCTTCCACTTTATTTCAACAGAATCACTAAGTGTCTGCTGGTGCTGGCAGGACCGAGCATAGTGTCCATTCAAACAAGATACAGTTCAGATTTTTAAGATCCCATTCACTGTCAAACCTGTCAGAAACTCCCACGTCCTAAGGCACTAGACCAGGGTCTGTAGTTGTAAGATAAAATCTATAACACATAAGTCACACATGGTTGCAAAAACGAATTATAAGCTACAATATTCTATATTAAAAATAAAAGTCAAATTAAGGACAGTTTTTGCACATTGAACACATGCGTCAACTCTCTATGTGAGCAACATTCTTGAGAGTGCACACAGACCCACCGAGAGGCAGCAGGGAGGAGGAAGGGACCTGAGAAATCTAGTTCCCATAATCAGGGTGATCAGGCCTCATTAATCCACTTCTAATGCCATGTGCTAGGCACCAGAGACCACTTGTGCTGCAGCTCACGTGAGCGTGGCACAGGGGTCTTCGAACACTTCGAGGAGTTGGGGTTCCTGGACCCCGCTTGTGATGTGCTCCTGTCGTGCTGGGAGGACCGGGACTCACCTGTAGTAAGAACTCTCCTTCTGGCAAGGCCCGCCCGTCTCTCAACTGTGCTCTACACTGACCCTGGCTTCCATTCCCGTCAGCGGGGGAGGACTTTAGTGCAACTACAGAAGAAAGAGAAAGGAAGATGTGATGACACAAAAGGCACACATTTAAACAAGCAATGTGAAAACACGATCATCGAATCCACTGGAGGGATGATTCGGGTCCGAGTGCATGGCATGTTCAATGGCACAACGGAGCAGAACGCTTGCAGCCACAGCTTACATCAGCAGCTCATCATGCCCTGAGGGCTGTCACCTGGAAGGACATGGCTGGTGCATCCCACCCAGTCAGACGAAAATCTTAGCTCTGCCACTCACTGGGCATGCCAGCTCCTTGCACCTGTCTGCTGATACGTGAAAGGCAATTAAAACCAAATGAACAAACATCCTGCAGAGCTGTGGTGAGGAGTATGCCCATGCAACTGACACAGCAGACCAACAGGTCAGTAAACAGTCGCTCCAATTAGAGTGTTTACAAGGGTTTAAACATTGCCTTATTAGAAAGAGTAATCTCCCAAATGCTTTGCATTCTCATCTCTCCTGATCCCCCTCTAACCTGCAATATTAAATAGTAACTCAGTAATAGTAACTCAATAATTCTTTTGTGATATTGTTATGTGCCCCAGGCTCAGGGAAAGCATTCCTAGTGTGCTACAGGGCACATGAATTTTTCTCACATTTGCACTTTCTGGTAAATCATCAGTGTGTGTGTTACAGCAAGATCCTATGCCAAACTCTCACCTGCCTTTGCAGAAGCTGAAAGGTATCTCAGTGAGAGAAGAGGTCAGTGCTTGGCCTCTACACATACACATTTCAAAAGGCCAGAGAACAGATTTCCTCAGGCCAAAAAATAGTGTGAGGTAAACTTGTCTACTGTTAATCAAGACTAAGAGGAAATACTTAAATTCAGTTCCTCACTGAAATGCAGACCAGAGAATGGCCTTTTCTTCCTTTCTGGCCTGCACAGTAGCCTTTGCTGCTGTTTGTTTTGATGGGCAACCTTGCTGTATTACACTGCTCCAATGAAAAGGTTAAATGCTGGCTCTGCTACCTCACCAAGTGCTTCCACAGAAAGAACAACTGAGTTTTATCCAGTAAGACCCACTGTTGAAATGACGGGAACACAGCCAAAGCCACTCCTCTATAGTCTTAACAAAGTGAGCAGTCTAAAACTGGACAGATACAGGGTCAGACAAAAAGACCTCCATTAGCATCTGGAGTGTCTTTTCATTACCTTCCTAACCAACAGAATTCATGTCAGTACCAAGTAGAGTCATCGATGGGAGAAAACAGCTCAGCATCTAGATACATTCTTTATCACCAGAGGTGTCTGTCTCAGTAATGTACCACTTGTTACTGTGCCTGTATTGAGGTTAGTAGCCAATGCAATTAGATTTAGCCAATAAGATTTGGCCAGTCTTTCAGCAGGATGTACAAGCTATGGAAATAAAGAACTAGAAGAGAATGTCAAAAAAGAGTTAAGAGTCAGAACAGGTTTACAAAGCATTGCAGAGAGTGTGGAGGTGTAAAGGTGACAGCAAGCCCTTCACACAGATTATCTCTGAGTTTTAAATGTTGGAAGAACAATGTTTGCTATGCACGGTACATGGATTTCTGGGAATGGTCACTGGACAGTACTATTCCAAGTAGACCTTATTAATGTTTCTGTTGTTTAGTCCACAGGAAGGTAGTAAAGAAAACACTACAAACAGGAGTCCAGAAAGAGTGTGCATATTCACTTCCCAGGGTCTTCCAACATCTTACCTCTGTGCTGTTTCAGAAAGCTTACACTAGGCCCACACTCTCCCATCCAGACTGAGTCATTTTAACCATTTATGACGTTTTCTCTTCAAGTTTTAGTCTTACAACTGTTCCCTCCCCCTTCTTAAAATGCTGGACTCTGTATTAATACTCTTTCTCCTCGTGTTCATACTACTTGGTAAGAAATCAATGGAAGAGAGCAATTGCGTAGTACCATTTGAATTACTCTATTTACTCTGTAACGATGTGGGATACAGTCTATGTCCCATTTCGTTTCCAAATCAGCTGTATAACACTGTATTGTTTGTTTAATGAAACTAAGAGAAAAGGCGAGGAAGAAGCCTTCTCAGATTTGCCAAACTTTCAGATAGAAGCCTGGAGCTGGGTGTGGTGGCTGGTGTACACCTTGACTCCCAGCACTCAGGGAGGCAGAGGCAGGTAGATCATGTGAGTTCAAGGCCAGCCTGCTCTGCAAAGCGAGTTCAAGACAGCCACGTCTACACAGAGAAACCCTATCCTTCAAGGGGGGTGGAGTTGGTAAAGCCTGGATGGAAATGCAGGCAGCCTGCTCCCAGTGTGCAGACCATGGCCCATCCGCCCCATGATTCTCCCAGGGAGCTAACCACTTTTCACCTTTAGCTTTCTTGCCTTTACATGAGAGCGACGCTATCACTCAAGATGAATTCTGGTGAGCGTAAAATAACATGCATCCTACATATAGACAGCCAAGGGCAGAGATGATAAACTCCTCCTTGTGTCTACACATCGAGGAACCACTACAAAAACTGTATGAACTGCACTAGGTAATATCCATTTCCTAGTCTTTAAGTGGAGAACACTGATTAGCATCCAATAGAATTATTTTGACGACTACATGGCACCTAAAACATCTGAAACGTTAAGCAGTACACAAATCACGTCTACATTCCAATGTATATGATACTTGAAACTTAAGAGCTTGTAGAAATGAAGCATAATATCTGAAAATGTCTGATTCTGCTACCTGAGAAATAACTTGAATTTTTAACAGACATCTGCTAAGGCTCCCCAGCGGCAGGCTACATTCCTCCTTCCCCAGAGACGGAAGTATAAAAGCAGCGCGAGGTGAGGCTAGTAAACTAACAGACTATCTCATGTGTGTCTTCGTGTGGAGGCATCTGAAGTATTACACAGTACGGAGAACTGGCTTTACGCAGTGTGCGAACGCGTGCCACTAGCACCACTCCCCGGCAATGGCTCCAGTCCAAACTGAACCGATATCTACCCAATCGACAGTTTCTAATGAGGGACTTTCCTCTCCTGTACATTATTTTGAATTGTTGAAGAAAAAAAAAAAAAACATTCATGAGGACAAAATACAGGACTGTGGTAATCTACATCTTGTACTTTGTTCTTTAAATGAATGAATAAATTTCCAAATAATACACCAAGTGTACCTAAAGGGAGTTTCCTATATAGTTTGAGATAAAAGACGCATTTTATTTTAATACATTCTATGGTTTTCTTCTGTATATAAAATGTGTTCATACCACATGTATGCCCAGTGCTCTCAGGGGTCAGGAGAGGGCATCGGATGCCCTGGGACATTTGTGAGTCATTATGTGGGGAGTGGGAATCAAACCTGGGTCCTCTGGAAGAGCAAGCAGTAAGTGCTATCAGCCAGTGGGCCACCTCTGCAGCCCCTGAAGTGTGTTCCTTGGAGGCCAGGGGGAAACTGTGTTTGTGACAGCAGCTTTGGAAAGCTATTGAGTTTTAGCAGATCACTTTCAAAATGCAAAACTCCTTAGAATTTAGTTCTATTCCAAACTTCAGGTGAAAACTCACTTCCCAGGATGTAGCTGTCACAGTGCATGTTACACACTCAGATGCAACACTCTACGCCGTCCCTGACTGCACTAATGCAACGAGGGTAGAAGCGCCTGCTCGACTGTGGCCATTACCTTACGAGTCACGTGGTTACCTTTACACACCAGAGTGAAGTGCAAACATGCCTCTGAAATGCAGAGTGTGACGAATAAATTGCACCAGTTACTAAGGACTTCTCACAGACATCAGCATCTGGGGGGCATGCTAATGCAAAGATGGGCTTCTGGCAACTTCTGACTCAGTGGCTCTAAGGCAGCACTCCACAGTCTGCACTAACAATTCCCAGGGAACACTGCAAACCACACACCTCTCTCTGACGACCAATGACAGAATGTCTACACTTAGGAAATGATTCAGAAATCATCTGAGTTCCCATGTTTCTAAACATTATTATGGGTTTAGTAAATACATTTACTCATGTGAACATTAAGAGATAACTCCAACAATTTTATCAAGACAAAAACTGCAGCACGCCATTAAAACTGACACACAGGTGAGCACCTAACAGTGTCCATGGCTCACACCCTCCCACACAGGCAACAGCTCTCTTTTCTGAGAACACTGAGACTTGAGCAATGGGCTCAAGAGAAAACGTTCTACGGGTTCCGAGGCACATTCACGCACAACAAGGACATCCTCCATTAAAGTAACATGTCAATACACCACAGGAAGAGTACACATACTCCACATGTGTAATTTCCATGACAACCATTTTAATTACAAGATTCAGTCATAGTTCTTAACTTCAGCATTAAGCCACCTCAGAGCGGGTGTGTGGTTACTGCTCATTCTGAGAAGGTGAAGACAGTGTGGCCCAGGAAGGTTAAAGACACTTTCAAAGACACTAACTGGTCCGTTGAGGGACATGTGCCGTGCCTGAATGCTCACCCCTGGCGTAAAGCACGCGTCCTATGTTCTGTGATGCCTCCACGAAAGGAAAGGGAGACATTAAGAACCTGGGAATCAATGGACTAGTCTGTCACAGGACAAGAAAATGCACCCCCTACCATGTAGGAAAATGTGAAGCAAGAAAAGCAAATTCACAGCGAACAGTTGTAGGCTTGCTGAACACAGTCTCCTCACAATGCCACCTTTCCTCCTGTTTGGGATGGTGATGTATCTATCATCTGTGCCACTGTATGCTGGAAGTCTGTAACCTGCTTTTTTGCTTTGATTTTACAGGATGTTACAGTTAAAGTAAAGGCTTGGGTCTCAGAACAGACCTTGGACTTTTAACCAGTTTTGAGATTGTGAAAAAACTACAGGGACTTTTGAAGTTGAACTGAATGCATTTTGCGTTACGCTACGGCTATAAGCCTGTGGGGGCCAGGGAATGGGATGTTATGGTTTGATTGAGAATAGCCCCACAGGCTCATATAGTTGAGTGTTTGGTCCCTAGTTAGTGGAGCTGTTTGAGAAAGATTAGGAGGTGTCGCTTTGCTGGAGTAGGTGTGTGACTGAAAAGCCTAGGCCAGGCCCAGATTTGCTTGCAGTATGCCTGCAGCTTGGGAGCTCTCTGCTTCTCCAACAGCATGGCTGCCTGCCTTCTGCTAAGTCCTCCACCAGAAGGATTCCGTACTCACCCTTTGATACTGGAAGCAATCCTCCAGTTAAATGCTTTCTTTCATAAGTTGCCTTGGCCATGGTGTTTCATCACATAAATAGTAACCCTAACCAAAACACTGTCTAGATGCAGAACAATTTGAACAAACTACCTCCTGGAAATTTCAATAGGTAGTAAGAAAACTCCTTCCAAAATATAAATGTCAAAGTTATGCTTCTTAAGAATAAACTGTTAGCCGGGTGTGATGGTGCATGATAGAGGAGGAAAATGCCTTTCTGTTAAAATCAGTCAATTCCAAGACCTGGATGCAGCCACCAAAATCCCAGTGTTCAAAAACGAACTCCTACTGATCATAGTCACTGAACTTCTTGAATATTTTCTGCATCAGACATAACAGATAACAGTTTCAGATAGAGTGTTCCAAATTTCAACAGGACTAAGCAGTATGAAGTACTTAAATGTTAAATTCTGGGATGTTTCAGTTAACTAGGAAAGGACAAATATTACTGTGGAACCTAAGAGGCAGCAATTAACAGCTCAGTCATGGCTCCAACGTTTAAGAAGATCAATCCATGCCATATTATTGGAACGTGCGGTAAATAGATGTATTTTCTTGGAAAAATATCTATTGTTATAGTAAAACTTGAGTTTCCTTTCTAGCAGGATTGTATGATTACCCGTTTATATTGTCCTTTCCGCAGGAATTTACACACCCCCTGTTTGCATCCTGTTATTCATTCGGAGCTTCCCTTTGCTTCACTGCACTGTTTCCCTAACAGAGGGACGGTGAAAGCGACTGTGGACGGCCCCTCAGGACTGCCGGGAGCTCCCCGTCCCCTGGCTCACACGGCACTGCTCTGTTCATAAAGGTACTATGCTCAAATTCTTCTTTCTCGGGACCCTGACACACTGCAGGTCCACTGATGGGCTGGAGAAGACATGGTCATTTATCCACCTCAATCTCCATCCCACTCCATGGTCCTATATTGAACAGCTCGAGGTGCTGCTTAAAGTCTATAAGCACCATTAAACTACACACACACACACACACACACTTACACACATTTATAATCCGACTAAAATTTTGAATATGTGAATTTTTCCTTCCAAGAGCAAAGCATATGACTTTTAAAAACTAGCTCCGGGCACAGTGGAGACTCACCTAAAACACTGTCACAACATTTGTAACATGTTTTCCCAAATACTTGGCTTTTACATCCAGGTGAGTGAATCAGCATAGGGGAGGCATGTTCTAGAAGGCATATTTCAACAAAATTTCCAGCTACATCTTATGCACACAGGAGTGTAAACCCAAAAAACTGTGATCTAGAGTTATGTATAATATAACTGATGAGGAATAATACAGATAGGCAAGAAACCTGAATAAAAGTCTGACGAATAAATGAAGGGCCGAGAAAATACTTTCAACATGCCTGCTATACCAAGCATGGAAAATAAGGCTGACTTGGGGGTAAGGAGACATGTTGCTGATCATGCATGTGTGTAAACATACAAACATGCATCTGTCCTAAAGACAGCAATTATGTAGTGCGTACATGCAAAGCAGTTATTCTAAGTAGCTTCAGTGTCATTCCTACTTCTAAACAGGGCAAAATGTATATGTTCTCTAACACGTCATATAGTCTGTTTTTCATACACAGACATGTAACAACATTCTTCATTATCGAGCCTCAAGAAATTGAAAGGTACAACAATTCAGGTCAATAAACCTCTCTGGAGTCCACAATGAGGCCCCTGCCCTGACAGGAAATTCTCTGAGGGCAGAGAGCCCAGTGTCAGGGAAAAGTGTGGTAGGGAGCACAGTCTGCAAGCCAACCGTGAGGCTCAGGTAAAAGCTCCAGGCTGCCATCTGCAGCGGGGCTCGCAGGTACCCATGACCACCACTGAATGGCCCTGCAGGTCATTTCTAACCAGCCCCCTTTGTGCTGAAGCTGCTGTCCGTAGGACTTTGCAGAGAGGGGAGGGACACACAGAGAGAGGGAGAGTCAGGAACAATAAAAGGAATCAGGAAACATGGGCTCAGCCGGGGGAGGTTACAGTCGACAAGGACACTCAGATACGCTACTGAGCGCCGCGGCAGAGTGATCCAGAATGAGGGTGGAGTACGATGGAACTGAAACAGAAGAACTTTTCTTAAAAGATCTTTCAGTGTCTGCTATGAAACTACGCGCGAAATCACTACTGTGGGACCCTACATTACAGACCACGTGAAATCAGTGCTGCAGTAGGGGGAGCTTGCTGCAGACAGACCACGTGAAATCCCTACTGTGGGACTCTGTACATTACACAGCACGTGAAATCCCTACTGTGGGAGTAGGTTACACTACAGACCACACAGACTCACTATTGCCAGGCTCTGTACTCAGCAAACCAAACGGGATCGCTGCTGCCGGTGTGTGTGCACCGACAACCACTGCTGCTGAAGGTTACACACTACAATCAGGCTGCAAAGTGACTAAGGAAATAAAATCACACTTGTTAAAAATACACAAAAAAGCCTGCAAACGAAAGCTGTTCACATCAGACACGTCAGACTATAAACACAAATCTGAAGGGAAATGACTTTCTTTGCAGTCCTCTGAGACACATTACAGAAACGAGTAGGTGCTGCCTGCTGACCTGGATGTCCACCATTAGCATCGGCTGAGTTTACAATCGGGGAAACATCGGTGTCTCACCTTGATGCCTAGTGACACCACGCACACAGCAGTTTCGGAAGCTGGGTGCTAGCTGCTGAAATATTGCTATCAACTCACTCACTGCAGCTTGCAAAAGAACGTGATTCTTTAAAAAGCATGTTCCTCAATAAGTCAATGTTTGATTTATGAACACAGAAAGAAAAAAATAAGACACTTGGGAGATGGCTTAGTAAGAAAAAGATCTTGCTATTTAAGCATGATGTCTTGAGTTCAAATCCCCAGGATGCATGTAAAAGATACTTAAAAACAGAAAATATGGGAACAATATATTACTATCTCCTGCATGTGTATGTCCGGGGAAGAGGGAGGGGGAGTGTCAGAGAGCATATATGTGCATGTATGTCAGGGAGAGTATGTGGTGTCATAGAGAGTGTATGTATGAGTGTATGAGAGAGAGGAGAGGGAAAGATTGTGTGTGTGTCACAGTGTGCATGTATATATGACAGAGAGCGTGTGTGTGTGTGTGTGAGAGAGAGAGGGACAGAGTGTGTCTCATGAAAGAGACTTGTGTGTTTGTGTGTGTGTCAGAGAGAGGGTATGTGAGTCTAGGGTGCAAGCGAGTGTCTGCGTGCGTACAGGCAGAGGCCACAGGAGACTTCCTCTGTCCTTCCCCATCACTCCTGCCTAATTCCCAAAGCTGCCTTGCACCTGCAGATGAGCTGGCAGCCACAGTCCCTCAGTCTCTGCCCCCAGAGTGCTAAGGTCACAGGCATGTGAGGCCACGCCAGGCTTTTAAGTGATAGGAACACAGATAGTCACATTTGTATACCAAATCCTCTCTTGTCCACTGAGCCGGCCCCAGCCCCAATCACAGTCAAACAGTATTTTATTATTTCTTTCTAAAATTGCAACCTGAGTATAAATTCTAAATACAAGACTTTCAAAGAAAGATGGCAGATATCATCCAAATGGCTACATCTGTCTGATGGATGAGACAGGAGAGTTAACTAATAATAGTTACAAATATAGATTTGTCAATTAGTTATTTTCTATGACAATAAATAAAACAGAAAGACACACATGGTATATATTCACTTATAAGTGGATATTAGACATACAATATAAGATAAACATGCTAAAATCTGTATACCTAAAGAAGCTAATCAAGAAGGAGGACCCTAGGTAAGATGATCAATCCTCATTCAGAAAGGCAAATGGGATGGACATTGGAAGAGGGAGAAAACAGGCAACAGGACAGGAGCCTACCACAGAGGGACTCTGAAAGACTCTACCCAGCAGAGTATCAAAGCAGATGCTGAGACTCACAGCCAAACTTTGGGTAGAGTGCAGGAATCTTATGAAAGAAGGGGGAGATAGAAAGATCTGGAGTGGACAGGAACTCCACAAAGAGAGCAACAGATCAAAAAATTCTGGGCACAGGGGTCTTTTCTGAGACTGATATGCCAACCAAGGACCATGCATAGAGATAACCTAGAACCCCTGCACAGATGTAGCCCATGGCAACTCTGTCTCCAAGTGGGGTTCCTAGTAATGGGAACAGTAGCTGTCTCTGACATGAACTCATGGGCTGGCTCTTTGATCACCCTTCCTGGCCCCTGAGGGGATACAGCCTTACCAGGCCACACAGGAAGACAATGCAGAGGAAGGCAATGATAGTCTAGGATCAGAGGGAAGGGGAGGAGGAACTTCCCTATCAGTGGACTGGGGGAGGGGCACAGGTGGAGAAGAGAGAAGTAGGGTTGGATTGGGAGGGGATGAGGGAAGGGCCTACAGCTGGGATACAAAATTAATAAACTGTAATTAATAAAACAATTTTTTAAAAAGGAGCCTAATGGGGGGGGCATTGTCACTTGTGGAGAGCTTTACTAGTCATCAACATTAGAAGGACCACATTTAACATCAGCGTGTGTGAGTTACTGCTGGAAAAGCAAACCCTGCAGTCATACCATCGAAGAAACTCTTGGCCCTGAGGTAGCTGACGCTGAGCCTCAGAACGGAGAGCTTGTCCAGCTTATTAATAACATCTTGTGGAAAGGGCAGCAGGCTGGCCAGGCGGTCCAACTCTGTGTTCAGGCGGTCTCTGTGTCGTTTGGAAGGATTGGACTTGATTCCTTCAGGAGGGACTGGCTTTACTCTGAAAAACAAAGAACCACAAAAGCCTTTAGAAAACATGGAGCAAAAATGTCTGTTATAACGTCTCCTCAAAGGCCTCTCTCCCCAAAAATCTGAAGAATTTCTCATTAAACCCCTGTACAGCACTAGCTACACCCAACTCTTCTCCCTAACACGACTATGGAAAAGGTCAGATAATAACCAACATGGACAAAGATACAAAGAATACACAGCACTCGTGCAAAAATACAATAAAGCCACCGAGCTGAACAATTAAGACAGAAGTATTTCCATACTGAAAGCACCTTAAAATTAAAATTTACTGTAAAGCCAATTTTACCTAGGAAAACCACTATTACACATGCATTTGGATTTCGAATGTGTGATCTCCCTAGTTAATCATTTACATATCGGTGTGCACAGATTCTCAAACTCCTACTTCCTTAATTCTCCTTACAGATTTTAGTTAGTTCTCTCACGCAGACTAACTGTGCCGTTATCACAGTTACATTTACAGCCTCAATACAGACCACCGGTAGTCTCTTTCTGATTGGATTTAAGACCTGCTCCATGAGGTGGAAGCCATACCTGACACTGTCAATGCTCCCAAGAACATGTGGCTAGACAGGTTATGGGTCCCAGGAGAGAACCTGTTACTATTATTCTCTGAAATGGATACAGCAATAAAGTGACTCCTAATGACTTATTGCTACACCCAGAACTAAGCGCATTGCTCAGCTCTCAGCAGGGAAGCTTCTTTGTGCTGTAGACAGCCATTAACAGACATTCACAACTGGCAAACATGTAGAAGATAAATGACATGAAAAGAGAGAGAGAAAAGAAAGTGAGCTCAACCCTAATTGCATCACGTCCTTCCCCTCAGGGCTCAGGGATCTACATGGAAGAAGGTGCAGAAACGGCCCAGGAGCCAAAGGTAGTGATGACTTCAGAAATAACAGGGCAGAGGACACACCAACCCACAGAGACCGTGACAAGCAAGCACAGACCCACAGAAGGCCAAGCCAGACAAAACCCAGCAGGGAGGAGAGGGGTCAGCACCACGTCCCACCTCCAGCTGAGAAGCTATTGTTTCTTGATTGCTGCACTGGGGAAGAGAGTCAAGTTTTCCACAATGGAGAGACATACACCCAGGAGTAGCTGGCTAAACACTAGGTGAGTAGGTAAAGCCAGGGAAACCCCAATGAAGGGGGGGGGGGAAGGATCATGGAAGCCAAAAGGGTCCAGAACACTACGAGAGCACAGCCCACAGAATCAACCCAGGGGCTCACAGACACTGGAGCAGCAATCACTGAGGCCATGTGGGCCTGAGCTGGGACCCCTGCATACACTGTATGGTTGAGCAGCTTGGTGTTCTCATGGGACCCCTAACAGCTGGAGTGAGGGCTGTCTCTGACTCTGTCACGTGCACGTGGGACCCTTTTCCTCCTACAGGGTCACCTCGGACAGCCTTGACATGGAGGTTAGTCTTACTGCAATTTGTTATGCCATGTTTGGCTGACATTTCTGGGAGGCCTGCTCTTTTGTTGCCCCCCTTGGAAGGGATGTGGAAGAGTGGGTCCAGGGGAGAGGGAGGCTGTGTGGCCGAGTCTGGGGCGAGAGAAGGTAGGGGAAACCGTGGTTGGGATGTAACATATGTAAAGAATAAAAATAAAAATGAAAAGATATGGAGAGAGGGGCTGGGGGTGTTGTGTGGGTATATGGGGGTGGGGAATCTAAAAGGAGCTGGGGGAGATGAATATGATAAAAACCCATTGTACCAAATTCTCAGAGAACAAAAACATTATTTCTAAAAACTGGAAAGCAGGATGCTGGAGAGATGGCTCGGTGGTTAAGAGCATTGTCTGCTGGGTTCAATTCCCAGCACTCACATGGCAGCTTACAACTGTCTGTAATACCCATTCTAAGGGATCGGACACCCTCACACTAGCACACATAAAATAAAGTTAAATAAATTATTTTTAAAAAATGGAAAGCAAAGCCAGGAGATACCTGGCTCTGGCCTCCACCTGTGTGAGCACACATGCACACTTACACACATACAGACACACACACAAACACACACATACACACACCAGGAATAAGTTCAGGATGAAGAGAGTATACCCAACTCTTAACCCCTGCATTCTTCATTTTGTTTCCCCAGCTCTAGTGCAAGGACATTGGTCTCTGGGTGAGAATTTGAAATGTAAATCATCATAGACTAAATGCTTAAAGTGATAAGAGTGACACATGGCACAAAGATAAATGTCATTGCTAGGCTAAGTTCAGCTTGATGTTTTATTTCCCTGTATGAGACAAAAGGCATCCACAGACCTTCTGAGATGTCTCCCTGGAAGCCACAGGGCATCAGAGGTCTTGTGCCACTGTCCTGTTGCTGCTCTCTAGCTGGGATAGGTTCTTTGCTTTCTGGTTGGCTTCAGTTAAGGAGAGATTTATGTGGATAAGCAGGTGTTCATATAAGAAACACATACAAAATAGACCCAGGAAGATGAGGTCTGTCCTAGAAATTACTATTTTGCGGTGATCCTGAAAAGAACAAATGCTCGCTCTTCCTATTTCTTAGCATGTGCACATTCTTCTCTAGGATTACCCCTTGAGCCCACAGAACATATCCAATATACTCCAATCACCGAGATCAGACCTGGAAAATGTTAAGTGGTGATCAGCCGGTAATTCACTACACCTCAAATACTTAACTCTGTAGGAAGCTCTGGTCCCTGGCAGGACAGGTGTAACAGTTCTGTTTCTCCTACCAGGCGCTAACATATTCTATAGCAAGGCAAACAAGTGTAACGCACTGCTCCATGATGTAGACGATGCTGCCTAAGAGTTCATAGAGACACAGGCCTCTAAGTCAGGTGTGGGGCATAAGCAAGACCTTCTGGATCCACAATGGCAGAAGAAAACAGGTTTCTGCAGCTACTACTCTCTCTCAGAAACAGACAGAAAGAGAAAGCAAAGGCAGAAATCCTGTCTCTCATAAACCTAAGACATTGTAGCCACATGGAAAAGGACCTGATGATGGAAAATGGGAAGAACTACCAACATGTACAAGTGGGAGGAAAATGCAATCACAGAACATTAATTATCCCAGAAACAATTTTTACACAGCCAAATCCAACGGAACACTGAAAGCATATTTAATCCAAAGCTCTGGGGCGAGGGGCGGTAAAGAAAACTAAGGACAGATGGGGTACTGCATTCCTTATGGACAGCACCTAAGGCCACGCCCAGCACCCAGAATGCAAGGTGCCACTGTATGTATGTTCCCGACTTTTAAAATATGCATGCATTTTGCAAGAATTTTGTTCAAAACAAGAGAGAGGACAAACCAAGAAGCTGAAAACTAGCACACAAAGTGAGTAATAGGCCCGAAACCCACACGGTAGCGCTGCACACAGACACAGCCCCACATACAAGCATCTCCATCACGCTAGCCTGTAAAACTGGTGATATTTTTAGGTAAAGCACATGAATACAAACATGTTTTATTGACAACTAATGTGAAGGAAATTCACAAAAATGTACTTTGACACTATATCTGAGTGTAGCACTTGGTTCAGCCTTAACAGTACATATTTATATATCTCTGCACATACACACATTCGTGCCTCCAAATTCCGCCTAAATAGGTTTATCCTATGGAGGATCATACAGTTATATAAGAGTTCACAAATCTCCAGATTATTCTCTGGAACACTGGTTAAATTACTGAAATGTTGGAAGTGACAGATTGCCCCTATAAAGGAAAATGCTGAAGCTACTCAACAGAACACCATGCAGTTACTAAAAAGGCTTTACAGGAAGAAGTGCAGGAAAATGGCGAAAGAAGACTCTAAGAAGGAAAGACATGAATCCAAAATTAAGAGAGGAGCAAGCACAGGCTGAGTCCTGGGATGGCAATTAACCGTTTCCAGCCTCAATGACATTAAAAATGACACAGTGGACAACTGGCAATGCCCAGGGCAGGGGCTATAGGGTACTCCACCTCACCTGTTTATCTAGACAGTCCTGCCCTGTTGCTAAGAACGTTACGGTTTGGAGCCAACAGCTAGAGATTCGATACCCAAAGTCTGCTTTTTTCACTTACTACCCAAACGAACTTTGAATGTGAACCTTAAGTCCCAGGGACGTAAGACAGAAATACTAACATTTTTTCCATAGTGCTATTATGAACATGAAGTTAAACTATGCATGGAAAATTGTTTTCAATGCTTCTATCAGAGCATATTGAGAAAAAGCAGCGATCTTTGTTATATTACACTGCCAGGCAACACAAATAAGTGTTAGAGTTTAGAGGGCGTACTGTTAAAATCCTGCACAGTGCTCAGGTCTGAGCAGCGGTGTTGACTAAACTCCAGAAGAAAAGGTCTTGCAGGGTAAGTGCTGGCTCACACCTGCAACACCTAACTAGCAGCACCTCAAGAGCAGGCCTCCCCGCGGGGTTCCAGCCTTCTGGTTACCCCGCCTTCTCTATGTCTACGGTAAGGACGGCGTGGAGGAGACTGTCCTGCTACTCTTAAAAAACTCAACCAGGAAAGGGACAGAGGAAGAGCACAAAGTGGTATAGGTGGGAAAGCGGGGAGGACCTGGGATGCAGTGAAGGAGAGGAACAAATACGATCAAAATTCATCGTGTGAAAAAAAATTAATACATGAAAACAAACAACAAAATATGTGACCTGACTGCCAGCGGGAGAAACTCGCCTCTTCTCTGAGTCTGACCTGTTGCTCCTGTGGTTCAGTTTGATGTGGGGCTGTGTGTAGAGCCACCCACAGGTTAACGTGAGGCACACCCACAGCTTCTACACTGAGGCCCTCTCAAGAATGCTACTTGAGAGAAAATGATGAAGAAAAAATTTACTCAGTATCTGCAGGGGCCTTTAATTCTAGATGCTCCCTAGAAAGGGGAACCAGACCATAGTTCTCTGAAAACTTCAGTACTACATAATGTAACGCTTGTAGTAAGTTTACTACACAGATGAGGCTCACGGTGTTTTCACTAGCGAGGCCAGCACACTAGTAGAGTGAAAGCCCTTATTGGGGTGTACCTTACTGGCAGTCATGTGACCCTTGAAAGCTACTGGCTGGATCACCACCACTACCCCGTCATCTGCAGCTGCATATTTTGCTTATTGGGCACCTTTGACGTGCTAACACTCCTTACTAACTTTCTAGATACATGATAAACTGGATAGATAAACTAAAAATAGCATTAAGACTGTTTCTGTCTTAATAAAGCCTGAAAAACATATTTGCAGTTATAATTAGAGTACATCATTCCATGGTAGCTTTTTCAGCCATCTCCCTGCGACGGAATGGAATAACTAAGCAAATACACGAAACATTTTCCTCTCCAAAGAGAACAAGCAAGAACGACGATTTGAACTAAAACCTTTGCGCATTTTCTGGAGCAGTCATTAAGTGTGGGACAACTAGCTAAGAAATATCACGAAAGATTCTACTTCCAGGCCAGTCTTTGAAATAATGTGCCTGAAAATGTGGACACGGGCTGGATGCAAGGCAGCCTCACGTCCTTTAAGTTCTTTAATTTCAACTTCTATTGCACCAGGATGAAGGGAACAATTACAGTGCACTTACTAGGGTGAAACTGAATTCGCTGCAAACCTATTTCCTTCTACGATAACTGTCATGGTGAGACCGACCACTAGAGGGCGCTTATTTTGCCTGTAAATGCTCATCTGAAGCGTCAAGAGCTTCAGGTTAAAATCATGTCACCTACTTTACTCCAAATTTTCATGGAACTGTATATTTAAGTGTGCACTTTTGTAACACCGCAGAATTACGGTGCACGTGCTTCGTGGTGCAATAAGACAGCTATCCCTTAAAGGGTCCAAGTTAACTAAAATGAGAAGGCATGGTCAATAGTGTTCTTCCTGAAGTTGGGGTACTTGGGGCCTCACTGCACACAGCAAGTAGCTGAGCTTAAAGACTCACATTAAAGCTTAATAACCTAATTAAGAGTGAACTTTGATTAAGTGCACTAGAAAGGTAGCTATTTCCCATTCAGGGGAAAAAACGTAAGTACTTTCACTAGACAATCTAAGTGCCAACACTAAACTCTCAGGCCGAACAGGTGGGTGAGTGGGTGACCTTTAAGGCGTTTGAAAGGTTAGAGTCGATTCGTGGTGCCTCGGTAAAGGACTGATAAACAGCAGTCAAGAACCAAATAAAAGAAAGTATAAGTGAGTGGGAGCAACAATATTTTTATAAGAAATTATCAGATACAAGTATATTACAGTGTGAGGGAGTAATAAAATACTGAGACAATATAATAAAAGGTGTATCTTAATCTAAAGGGAAGTGTTAAAAGGGAAGCTCTCTATACTAACTAGAAACTAAAAACATTCAGTGTTATGACGAATAAAACTAAGATAGTGAGCTTTGAATAAAAAGCAGTTTACGTCCTTAAGTGACACAATGAAAATCAGTCACTTAAAAACACACAGGAGTTTCAGAGTTTGTGCCTATGTACATAAAACCTGAGATTTTCATCGCATGCTGAGTTAGAATCACTATCAATGGAAACAGGGAACAGGCACTTCAACAGCCTCTAAAAGAAACGTTAACCATCAGGAACAAATCATTGAGCAAACATGTTTTAATAAGAGAAAGCATTCTACAAAATAGCAAAGCACGGAACCCAGGGTCCAAAGAACAGCCGAGACAGTAAACTGCTGAGTCGGCGATATTCGAGATCGATATTCTTCCAATTTCTGATCAGACTACACACGAACATCTCTCAACGGCAATTTATGAGTCAAGATCTGAGGAACTGGGGCAGCTGAAATTCTTAAAGGAATTAAAATTCACCCATAGTGCAACGTCTAGGCACTCGTAAGCAGTGTATAACTCTTAAGACATTATTTTTCTGGTTCACTCGGTGATAGCTAAGTCAGGTTTCAGACAAAATGCTGGATACTGATCGCCTGAGAGTGTTTCTAAAATAATTTATAAAACAATGGGAAATGGCAAGTTGCGGGAACTCCCAAGATAATTATGAATGAATACACCAACACAGCCAAGTCCTAAATGGAAACCTGTCTCAAGCATGGATCTCTTGCCTGGAAAACACACACACACACACACACACACACACACACAAACCCAAAACAAAACAACAAAAAAAGCCTGTTTAGAAGTATTTCCCATCTCACACAAACAGCCCATCGAACCAAAGACTGTAATCTTATTGTTAGAACTGGAAAAAACATTTTAAAGCGAGGGGAAATGAATTTCAGGTAGACAGTGAGAATCACTTAAAAGTCAACCCAGTTCCTTGCTTCTTCTCTTTATTTTGTACTTTTAAAATTTTATAGCGCTTAAGAGCACTCCAGAAAGGAGGAAGAAGGCTTCACCAAAGGGGGCTGAGAATGCCACCAAGCTGCCAGGGCACCGGTCCATTGCACCTTCCAACCTGCTCCCAACTCCGCGCCTCAGCTGAGATTTGCCGCCCGGTGAGGAAAAGGGACATCCAAACAGAAAGAGAGCTGGCTGCTAAGGACACAGGAATTCCTCCCAGGACGCACGACCCCTCCTCCGCCAAGCCAGCACGTGCTTAGCTCTGCCCAGCGCCTCACCTCGGCGACCTGTCTCCCCAGAACCCTCCGTGTCCTCTAAAGCTCCCCGAGGTGGGGATCTAGAGTGGAGGATTTCTAGCGAGGCTTAGCTAACTAAGCCAGAGCTACACTGGCTAGGTCAGAGCTGTCAACGAACCAGGGCCAGCGAAGGTCGCGGGGCTGCGAGGCTGCAGGCGCCCGGGGCAGCACCGGTGGGTTGGCCGCGCACTGGCCAGGACGCGGCTGCGGGCCGCCGGGCCGCGTGGGGACCTCCCGCACCCGCCGACACTCACGTTTTCTGCACGGGCTTGCGCCGCTTGCGGCTGGCGTAGGTGATGTTGGCGCCGCCGCTGCTCATGGTGCCCGCGCCCCGGCCGCTCCACCTGCGTCCCGGAGGCGGCGCCCGGCCCGCGCGGCGCCCAGGTGAGCCGCCGCCGAGGGCGGGACCGGCCGCGACGCGCAGGTGCGGGCGACGGAGGCGACGCGGGGCTGCCGGGCA